TTTAGGGTTTAGGGTTTGGTGTGGGTTTTATGGTTGAGTTAAGGGTTTGGGGTTGAGTTTAAGGTTCAGGTTGCCTTCACGCGAACAGCCAGCCCGGCAGAGGGTTTGATTCCCTTGGCTCCCCCCTTCCTTCCCCCTCCTTGTCCTCGACCCGTGAACCCCTTGACCTTCCCCACCGCCTTGCCTTTCCGCTCACTTTATCTGGCAAGCACGTCGGCTCCCTTTAGACTCAGCCGACATATGAGAACCACCCTGTGTCGACACGGCTCAGAATTTTGCTGATTTCTGAGGTTCGGTAGACAGGAAACGGAAACATCAACAAAGCCTTGATCCGACTCTCCACCACCACAACTGAAACGCGAAGCCATAAGTCCTAAGCCCTAAAGAGGCCTCTCGAAAGTGGAGGCTTCTTTGCAGACGCCCGAGCCCAAGCTTTTCCAGCCGGCTCAACTAGCCGAAACTAGAAGTTTAGGGGGGAAGCGGCTTCAAGGTTTCAGGGGAAAGTCCTTGAAACTTGGGTTTAGGGCTGAGGGGGCTTCAAGCAATAGTCTTCAGATATCTTATGCTGGGAGCTTAGGCTGCAACCTGCAGGCTCCGACAACCAGAACCTTCAGCCCCATCTACGTGGATCCTAAGCCCAACCCAAAGCCTTCTGAATATCGATTTAGGGTGTATAGGGTTTAGGGGAACCTCATAACCACCTTATGAGCAATCCCAAACCCTGAACCCAGAGCCAAGGCTCCGAGACATCAACCCAGATGTGGAGTGCGGAACTCTGACTTCACAGATGTGGGGTTTTGCTAAGAGCCCTATCGGGTTTGTATACGGGTTCTATCAGGGTCCGGTTTACGATTCTTTAAGGGCTTTAGGGGCCAGCATCTTCGCAGTTCAGGGGCTGGTGTTAGGGTCCAGGGGCGGGAAGCTTGGGGTTCAAGGAAGTAGCGAAATTCAATACACCCAAACCCCTGAAGCCAAATTCCTGAACCCGAAACCCCACACCTCAAACCCGAAACCCAAAGCCTAGACCCTAAACCCNNAAACCCCTAAGCCCTAAACGCTGAAGTCTCCTGTTCTCTCGAGAAGTCCCTGAGTCGCTAGCTCATTTGCGGCCGAGGTTTGAGATTTTCAACATGAACATCACGACGTCGGAAAACTACGATGTCCTGCAGCTTCCTCAGATGGCACAGCTTCGGTTGAGGCTCGGTGGGTTTGGAGGGCTTGGGCTTTATTAACTCTGCTTGAGAAAAAGCCTCTATATCGTTCTGGTTCGGGAAGCCAGGATTTGGCTCAAGGTCTACACCTGTGTCGCAGCTGATCTGATGCTGGGATCTTCACGCAGCTTCATATTCGGACACCGAGTCACGTGCAACAGAGCATTTCTTCTTTTGGCAACTACATGAAAAAGGACCCACACTAATTACGAACGTGCCACGCAAACGGAAAACCCGAAACTCCCTGCACCTCAATCTCCCAACCCTCCCCAAACGAAATTTCTGACCCCAAATACACCTTAATTAAGTCCCGAACGCGAGAAGGCAAGCCCGACATCTCAAGATCCCAGGCCGCAGACCCCTACAGTTAACAGTTCACCGCACACAAGTAATCCGTCAAAGCCTGAAATCCCCCGGCCCAAACATATGCCCCAACACCCCAGATCTCTAAATGCCCAAATCGAAACCTGTAAGCCCTATACAGAGTGATATTTTATCACCAAACACCTGAACAGCCAATCCCCTACATCCGAAGTCACGACCGAGGCTTGAGCGAATACGCCAGGGCGGTTTGCAGGAGAAGCGAGTGGATCTCGTCCTGAGCTGCGCGAGCCTGGCGCACTTGCAAGCTACAGCGCTGTGGGTTTGGCGGTTATGACATAGTAGTAGTAGTAGTAGTAGTTATTTTTCCTTACCGTTCCTTATGATGGTAGTAAATTCAGATAACTCGAGATCCTATTCCAAATATTATGGCCCGTGCAGTGGGTTTTGTTGTTCTGGGGCTCGCGGTTTCAATGATTTGAATTGTGGTCCTGTTGAGGTAGCTTTCGGGCGCTCAACTTGCAAACCCAGTGCGGGCTAGCATTCGGAGTAATATTCATCGCAAAGTCACAAAGCACTCCCATAGTTTTCTGCGTGTTTATAACTATTCGTGTCGTTGAGGTTATTATATACAGAATCGTTCGTACTACTTCTATCATTCGGGTTCCTTTTGCTGCCAAACATTGTTGCACCTATGTCCGGGCAGTTTTTTCCAAGAGCGCGAACCCGAACCCTTATACCCAAGAGTGTCGAGTGCTGGAGTGTTCGGCATGGCAACGGTAAGCTTCGCAGGCGTTCAAGGACAAGCTGAATAAATTCAATTTTTGCTCATACCCTTCGAAACGAAGCCGCGTCAAAGCGCAATCGACAGCAGACTGAACTTCGGTAACTTTGTACTTTATCCAGAAATGCCTAATCCGCATGCTTCAAGCCTCTAGCTGTTCTGCTCGGTATTCGTGATCCATTCCTATACATATTCCTACCAGTGCTCGGGTCAGCCGAAGTTTAGGGAAGGCTCTGTGAGATGGATCAACAGTATAATTACCGCGAGATGTGGACCCGAATTCCCCAGCTTTATAGAGCCGCAAGAGCTAAACCCAACGGCTTTGGGTTGGTGTTGTGAAGGGTATCCGAGAGATTGACCATTCAAAGCAAAGCCCACCATCCTAAGGGATTAGGTTTTTGCGAAGTTTGGGCAGGGTTTAGGGTTCAGGGTTCAGGGGTTCGGGTTTCAGGTTTGGGGTTTAGAGTTTCATAAGGGTTTAGGGGTAAGGCCAAGGGTGCCGGGCTAGATTTGGCAGCCCCAACAGGTGGACAACTATGCTGCGCGCATGACGATCAACCAGGCATGCGAAAGCTCTTCCAAACCCGAAAAGATTTACTATAGGGGACTTAATGATAAGAATAATTACCTGTACTATCTTGGGGTCTCCTTACTTTAATGATTAATGATCGTATAAATACACCAAGCCCTATTCTGATTATAAAGGCCCTTACATTAACCCTGGAACCCAAACCGGGAAGAGAACCAAGCTGCAACCTTATACTCTGGCCCTGGTAACCGATGCTCCCATCGCAGGCACACGCTAGCGCCTAAACCATTGTATAGAAGCATTCCCAACATGGGCTCCTGTTCATAATTATAGTCGTAGTACCTTAATATGCTCCGAAACCCGAATAACCCTAAACCAGAAGCCCTAACCCCCTATGCTCCAAAACCCTATTCCTGACCATTAAGGCTTCAGCGAGAAGGGGTTCAACTGTCTCATGGCGAGTCCAACAGGAAGCCAGCTTAACAAGGAAGGGCATAATAAAGGGGCCTAATGATTACCAATACTATTTTGTTACTGTTGGTTCCTTATTGTAACTATGGTATAATATACCGCAAAACCCTATTCTGATTATTAAGGCCCCTATGTTGTACCTTGAGGACCTGAACCCGGTAGCTAATGTAGGGCTCTCGAAGAGACCCCTAGTATAGAAGCCTGAACTATTCCAAAGGGTTCCATGTTCCCAAGTATACTACGACATGCGCCAAAACCCTACTCTATCCATGGAGGCCCCTATATACCCTACTCTAACTGTAAGGAGGTCCCTATATTCTATATGGCGTAGCTCAGCCCTAAAGCCCTAAACTCTAAAGCGTGAGGCTTGCAACGAGCTGGGCCAGCCTGATCCTGAGACTGGTTTTTTTTTGCGGGCGTACTGTTATGGGGCTTGGGTTTCGGGGTTTATCCAAGGACAGAAAGTCGCACCCTTGTTGGTACCTCCCGGCTTCTCTCGCAGCCCACATACGTGCCACGTGTGCTCCATAAAGTCCACAAGCTCGGAAACGATGCTTCAGCAAAGTTGAACCGACTGAGCGTTGTCTGTTGCATGCGCCGCGGCTTCCCCGCCAACGTCTTCAGCCTGTTGTGCACCGAGACGTGCGGGACTGGAACGATCTTAAAGATTGGTCTGCGACGGCGTGACCGGAACAGATAGGCAGATAGACTTAGATAGACTTAGATAGATAGATAGATAGATAGATAGATAGATAGATAGATACATAGATAGATAGATAGATAGATAGATAGATAGGTTGATAGGTAAATAGGTAGGGAGATACATACAGACAGACTGGCTGACTGATTGATCGATTGATGGATTGATTGAATGATCGATCTATTGTGTGACTGATTGATCGAATGAATGATTTGTGGTCGATCGATCGATGTGGGGTGATATATGGGTAGATGAATAGATAGATAGATGGATAGATAGATGGGTAGATAGATGGATAGACAGGTATCTAGGTAGAAGATAGATAAGTAGATGGATGGATGGGTGTATAGATCGGTAGACACCCAGAATGAGATCATATATGTATATGCACACATATATATATATATATATGTGTGTGTATACACATCTCGGTACAGATAGAGATACATATCACGTTTCTAAGTTTAGATAGAGATATCGGTGCACATATAGGTAAAGGTACACATATAGAGAGAGAGGGAGTGAGAGAGAGAGAGAGAGAGAGGGACATAGATGCAGATATAGAGACTGACAGAGATGCAGATACTCATATAGACATATGGGGGGCCAGTCACTATTGCGAGATCTCTAAAGCCCAGGACGGGCCCGCCAGGCCTCAGACCTGGAAAGAACAGTCAGAGCCGATTTAAAGGCCTGCGCTAGAACCTTCTATAGGGCTTACTCATCGCGGTTTCCATTACAGGAGCTTTTCCTGCTTAGCTTCTGGGCCTCGGCTCTGGCTTGGGGTTTTCAGGGCGAAGTTTAGCACTGTGAATTAGGGTTGCAGTTCTGGAGACAGGAGACGTGAAAGCCTGGCTCCACCTGTAGTGCTCCTAATTATTTTTGGCAGCTTTGGGATTCGCTCTCCACAGCGCCGTGGGAATGCTGTTGTAACGCCGTGTGCGGGCCCCGCAGAAGCCTACTCAGAAGCCCAACGGCTCCGCCTTAGAAAACCTGAACCTTGGCAGGACCCTTACAAGCAGGTTTTGTTGCTCAGGATCTGGCTCGAGTCTGGCGTGTCCGAGAACGCGGCCCCTGACTTAGTAGGGGTTCAGGGTTTAGGTTTAGGGTGAAGAGTTCAGGGTTCAGTTTCTTAGTGCCATGATGTTTTGCAGCTGCCGTTTGGAGTGGTGTTCTTGCCGCAGTCGGCCATCAACTCGGCCCTGAACTCTGAACCCAAACCCTAAATCGTCAGCCCGAAATCCTAAACCTAATCCAGACACCGCGGCCGAAAGCCTAAACCAACCCTTTACATCCCAGACCCAGACACGCCAAACCTTAAGCCCATGACGAGACGGAGGTCGACAAGTGAGACAGGGCTTTCAGGTTGCTGACGGGGACACAATCCCTTTCCACAAAGTGGATTTCGGCAGTTGCCAGGAGCAAAGGTCGGAAAGAGGGGTTCCAGAAATCCCTAAACCCAAAGTGATCGGAGTGTCTTCTGAAGGGCTGGGGTTCAATCCTTTCGCTTTATGACGAAAACGGGGTGAGGGGGGTTAGGGTTTTTCGTTTGGGGTTTAGGGTTCTTGCCATGAGGGATATTTTAAGGAGTTTAGGGGGGTCAGGGTTGCGCAGCCTCTTTGCTTTTTCTTCGAGGTCTCCGGCCACATCCAGACCATGATTCCGGGGAGGCATGGAAGGATCCATATTGTGCAGTCAATTAGACATACATCTATGTGTGTATATATATATATAAGTATGTACATAGCTGTGTGTATGTATGCATGTCATGGTATAGTATGTTTTATATTATATTGTATATTGAATTATATAGTGCAGTATATATATATATATATAATGTTATATATTTTATATGATCTAGTCTATGTTATATATTATGTATTTTATATTAGCTATTTTTTATTTTATATTACTTATTCTGTTATGTTATTTATATTATGCTCTATATTATATTATGTATTAGATTATATATTGGATTATGGGGCAATGCTACACAGCAAGCGTTGTAAACAGGATAGGGGCAATGCCACACAGCAAGCACTGTAAACAGGATCGGGGCAATGCCACACAGCAAGCGCTGTAATCAGGATAGGGGCAATGCCACACAGCAAGCGCTGTAAACAGGATAGGGGCAATGCCGCACAGCAAGCGCTGTAAACAGGATAGGGGCAATGCTGCACAGCAAGCGCTGTAAACAGGATAGAGGCTGTACATTATGGGCTCAGTTTGCTTATCCCTAAATCCATGGGGACGGTTCTCTCAATTAAGTGGCCTTTTGTGATCCTTATTCTGACGGCGACAAGTGGTTTCCAAGAGGGTTTAGTGCGATTAGGGTTCAGGGCGTATTGTTTTACGGTTTCAATCAACTACCCATGTCCACAGCCGCTGTCTAAGCGACGTAATGACGGTATTGTACCCTAGGCTACCCTAAACCCTGAACCCTAAACCCAAAGCCCTAAACCCTAAACCCTAAACTTTATAAACCCTAACCCGAAAGCTTTATAAACCCTAAACCCTAAACCGTAAAAACACTTAAGCCAGAAACCTGAAGCAGCACCAGGTCTGACGTTGGATTCCTCTCGGCAGATCCTCTATGCATCTTCGCCCTCCGAATACGCCAACCCCCGAGATTGCCAAAGGGCTCTTTCAAACGGCTGGTGGTTGGCATTATCGCAGTTGTAGACAATTACAGCTTAGTGGCTGAGTAGGTAACATTTAACCTATTGGGGCTCTTATAATCCTACTATCATTCAAAAGGTTAACCTTTTTTGTGCTAGGGTAGTCAGCCCATAAGACAGACACAACAGCAGATAGTAGCAGCAATAATGATACGCAGCTACGGTAAGACTTGAAATCGTGGTATTGTTCAGCCATGTGGGTCGGTTGGTGGTTGCGAGTGGTGCTTCGGATCTGTCTGGGTTGTGACTGAGCTACCACAAGGCATCACATGTGTGGTTACGGTTTCCAGACTAGTTCAACAGCGTTTTGATAGGAGCCTTCCGTAAAGTGTGGTCTGGGGAACTTAAGCCGTTTCGGCGCTTCGGAGTTCAGAGCTTTGTAGGGTGCTGCATAGGGGATCCTTGGAAGCTCAGCGATGTAGCAGTCACAGCATCCGTGGAAGTCCTGTCCACAAGCTTCAGTTCGGAAACGCGATCTTCACCGAGAAGTTTCCCCGGATATATCCACTTTGCCGCACCCTGCAACTCCAAGCCGAGCAAACCTCAGAGCAAGTGCGATTGCAATCTAGGAGCCTGGATGAACACCGACCCTACTCAATGGGATTCCCTTGTAAATTGTTATCAAACATCTGGCAGGTTTCGAAATTTTCCCAATCATATCCCAATCACTGGTCCCCAACATCCCAACCCCTAAATGCCTGAAGAACCCTCTAAACCATACAAGACCGCTCATGAACCGTTGCAAAGACACTACAAAAACTCGCAAGAAAAGCCCTAGGCGCTGTTTCCAGAGCACAAATGTCTCCTGCAAATCCCGAAAACCCCGCACTGGACTGTGAACCCGGTTCTCCAGTTTTATCCTGCACGGGTCTATAGGTTAGAGGTTTAGGGCGGTGCAATTGTCATAGTGAGCAAACAGCGTTTCGCGCAGACTCTGAACCCTGAACCCTCTAAACCCCCGAAGCCCTATAAACCCTGAGCCCTAAGCCTTCATGATACCACTGGGCGAAGGTCATCTACCGCTACCACCTGGAGATTGGCCCCTGCGCAGCCCCGTTGCGACCTTAGGGCAAGTCGATTTCATGTTTTATCTGCAATGTTGGCGCAATGATTTTCTGTAGGGTGCTAGAGATAACTATGCCATAATGTACCCCGCAAGCCTAGTCTAATCATTAAGTCTACATATTCAGGCATACTGTATTCTAGACATCCTATCAGGAGGCCGTAGGATCATACTTCTAGTGATCCACGCCCTTCCGAACTAGTCCCATAAGTGGAATACAAGGCCAAACATACCAACATGATTGCGGTGCCGGCTCTTTATCCCCAAACGAGCACTTGGGTATAGGTATAACCCTGTTGAGGTTTTGATACTTAGGATCTAGGGGCCTATACCCAATCCCGGACCGTGTCATGGGTATGTAGGCAATGATAGACGGTAATGTAGAAGCCTGATCGCATTAGCAACCCTAGTCTTTAGGGTTGCTTAACATGGGTGGTTCCCTAAATTCGTGTCCCTTTTCAGGTTCCCCAAATAGTACGACACCCGTATAAAGGACCCTAAAAGGGACGCGAATTTAGAGAACCACCCATGCCCAAAATTCGCATGCCCCACAGCCTTGTTATGGCCCCGGCCAAAGCAGAAACAGCTATCCTTCCGGAGGCAAAATATCGCCAATGCGGCATCACCTTCATGCTCCGAGGGCGAGGACTTCTGCTTTACAGGGTGCAGAGATTCAGGGTCCGGAGTTTCAGGATGTAGGATGTTAGGGTTTAGGATTTATAAGGGTTTAGGGTGGAGGGGTTTAGGGTTTAGGGTGTAGGGGTTTAGGGTTTAGGGTTATCGAGAGTCTAGGGATCTGTGCTACGCACGAGCAACGCTACGTGATGCCCGTAGTTGTCGCAAGTCGGATCTTTTCCTATGCCGTGACTGCCAAAGCCTTGAAATAGGAAGTACTCAACTGTCTAGGCTTCATGTCCTCATCGAAAAATCTGCATGCAGCTTCTTAACCATCATAAAAAGCAGAATCACGTCTCTATGCCGTAAGACCATAGACAGTGAATCCCATATTACCCTCAATAGATGAGGCTACGAATCATTCCAGGCTTGCGCCACAACCCCGAATCGCAACAGCCACGCAACCAAAAAGCATATGGTTGACTGTTCGGGTTGAGGACGAGCTGAAACGCTACAGTCTGCTAAAGACCCTACGTCACAAAATTGACCGACCCTAAACCCACAAGGCTGCAACCTAACCAAGCTGTTTGTTGTGGAGCAGAGGAGGTAAACCTGGACCATTGCACTCCGGTCTGTGCAGCCGGCTTTGTTCCGACTTTTTCGACTCTGCAACTGGGCATCTCGATTACGGCGTCGGAGCGCCGTTGGGGAGGGAGTGCTAGAGGGTTTCCAGTATCGCCACCTCACCATCACGAGAACTAGCTAGTCGTACTCATTAAAGAGCATCGACGTGCACTTGCGCCACAGTGCTAAGTACAGATTCGTACCCTGAACCTCCAAACTAGACATGTTCTGATCTCTTTCGGATGCTCGTGACGACAAATTCATAGCGTTCGTAAAGGTGTAATTGTAATACTGAACGTCAGACCTATAGACGCTGCGACCCAACCCTAACCGCTGCACCCTAGCTTGTGATACTACTCCTTACTAGGTAATTATGAGGCCCCTACAATGCCAGCTTTATTCCCTTGTGGCAACAGTCTTTGTAGGGGATTTATCTATAGACCATACGGCTACCGGGCCGCTGCGTTCGGATGCTTCTTCTACGCTTTCTTGCGGCCTGAGGGTCAAGTGAACTCCGAAGTGTAAGCTCTTCTCCAGACTTTCCCAAGACCCCGAACCCGAAGTCCCAAACCATAATGTAGGGGCCCAAATAATTACCTGTCCTGTTTAGGGAGTTCCTTAGTATAATTAGTGTATGGTGGGCCCCAAAACCCTATTCTAATTATTGAGGCCCCTATATTAAGCCCTAAACCCCAAGCCCGAAGGCATTGTGCCGACGGTGTGCTTACGCCACCTCATTTCATCTGCCAGCCAGAGCCGTGTCGCGCGCCATGGGGCGTGGCGTCTCGGCGCAGAGTTTGCGATCTAACTTAGGGGCTGAGGTAGGCAGCCTTTAACCTTTTCGGCATTTCGAGTCGCATCATCATGAAACGGTTAAGCTTACTCGGGCTAGGGCTAGGGTATTTCAGGGTTAGGGTTGGATTTCGGGGTTCAGGGTTTAGGGCTCACAGGCTGGAAGTGCCACTCAAGAGCATACACACTGGAATCCGAAAGCCACGGGATCCATACGTTTAGATGCAATATCATTTTGTTGTATTCGGGGCTGAGTTGGTCTCGAAGTGTTTAACGCTCCAGGCGGCTGCAGGCTTAATGTAGCTGCATTAATAATTAGAATAGGGTTTTGCGGTATAATCTGTAACTATAAGAAACCTCCCAGGAAAATCGTTCAGGTATTTTTCTAGGCTCCTATGAGGCATTGAGGATTTCAGCTCAGGGTTTTGACAGGGTCACATACGGTTCTATTGGCGCTTGCAAGCGTTCTAGTTGAGGTTTTCTTTCAGGCGTCTCGTATATTGGACTCTGGATTAAGGACTGTCGTTGAGCAACTAAGTTTAAGTCACCAGGATGTTGAGGATATGTGGCAAACGTACGCTTTCCCTGCTGTGGTAACTTGATCTGAGCTTCTCAAGAGGCGTAGCTCGCCTGAAGCCTCCTGAGCCGATATAGGGGCCTGAGTAGTTGGGTTTTTTTGCATCCTAGTTGAGAGCATTCTGGCGGTGATCATAGCAGCAGCCAACTTAGCAAGTTCCCTGGAAGCTCGAAGTAAAATCCTTGAACCCCAAGCCCGAAACGATCTGTAAGGTCTCGGGATCTTATCGAATTCACTTTTGCTTGTTTCAGCGACCGTAACAAGGAGGCAGGTTCGTTGCAACACATCCCTACTGTGGCAACACAAACCAAGCTGCTTGAC